ATTGATAAATTTAGATACATTTAAAAAAATTTCCAAGGCCTTACCTGGTCCGGCTTAAACTTTTTCAAAAAATGTTTTAATCCCGACTCAGCCCGAACCCGATTTTTAAAAAATATAGGACCGGCTCGTAAAATAATATTCAGCGATCAACAAACTGTTATTAATATCAAATCCAATTTTCCATATGTTTTTTTCTTCCTTATTTTGAAGAACTTTCAAGTCTTCGCATTTGTTTGAACGCCAAAATTATGGAATTCTTAAAAAAACAATTACTTTTTTTTGCATTAATAAGGGGAATGATAATGAATATTATGCGTGTGATGGAAATCAATTAGACTTAATTCATTTTTTTAGAGTAAAACATAAATAACCAAAATTTCATTTAAAATATAAAATTGAACTCATAATTTCTTTTTTTTATCCATTAAAAATAAATGATTGTTTTTGTCTGAGGAAACTCTTTTTCAAAATATTACATAACATATAAATAATAATAAAATTAACAGAGTTGTTAAAGTATCTAGATACAAAATAGATACATTGATATAAAAAGTATCGGTATCTTATACTTTTTCAGATACATTCTTATTTAACGCTTTTTATCTAAAAAATAAAAAAAAATTTGAATATAAAATTTATTTTTCTCATATTATCATATAATTTAAATAAAATAATATAAAGATTATTTTTTTCCCATTTATATCTTATTATCTATAGATATCAGTCCAAGATTGTGAAGGATATTTTTAACATGTAAAGAAATATATAAATCCTTGCTTAGCTATGACGCTTATTACAAAATTATTTTAAGCAAATAAATTTATTTAGAATTTTTAAAATAATTTTATAGATATTCCGCTAACTTTTAAAGAATAAATTATAAGTTTAATGTAAAATATTTTTTTTAAATATATGCTCGTTTTAAATGAGAATTGCTCGAAAGCACGATGAAATAAGGGTGATGACATTTTTTTATATGGTGTTCGATTTGAATGAGAACAAAATATTAAAATCTTGTTCACGTATTTTGTACTCGAGAACAACGGCGAACCCTGTATAAGCATAATAAAAATGGTATCTTTATCTAAATACATTTTAAAAATGGTGTCTGTGTCTAGAGCCAATATAAGTATCTTTTAACAAAACTGAAAATTTACCATGTTTTTCCCTTTTAAAAAAAATTAAAGGGAAAGGAAAAGTATACAAGGGATTTCGTCCCGCAGTTTGGTAATTTGAGTGAATACCTTGTATTTATATTAATTGAATATTTTTTTACGCTAAAATATTAATATAATATTTTTTTATGAAAATAAACATACATTCCAACCAATATAAATTATTACCTTTTAAAAATAATTTATTAATATAATATCCTTAGATGGTGTAAAAAAACACCAATTTTATTTTAGTTTTTTTTTATAAAATTATTTTTTTTAAAAAAATTAATAAAGTTTTTCCATAATTTGACAATAAAAAAAATTAAAAGAGAAAATTATAAATGTAAAGAAGCTATGATTTAAACCATATGTAAAATCTAATATATGAAATAATACGTTTCATATAGTTAATGGATAATTGACCAATTATCCTAATAATATTTGCGAAATTTATATTTTGAATAATTTTATGAAGAAAAATTTAAAATTGCTTAATAAAAACCTTTTACCAACGAGCCTAAAACAAAACAGGTTTAAGTAAATTTATTAATATGCTAGAGTAACCCTCATTTTTCTTTCGGGGAAGCAAAATTCAATAACATTTAATTTATTAGTAGAAAACAGACTAGGCTTTGCTCATGTAATAGAAGAAAATAATTAATTTTTTGATTGAGTTTTAATAAATATTATGATTAACCCAATATAAATCACCTCATCATAAAAATTATATGTTCCAATATCAAATACAATTATAATTTGATGAATGTTTGTTTTAATAAAAAGTTCTAGACATAATGTTTTCAAGGTAATATGCTATAATAATTTCCAGGTGGAAAATATTGAACTAGTTACAGAAAGTTAACTTATATATGACTTAGCGTTTTAAACTTTTTTTATTATACCATTAATCATTTTGGGATTTACAAATTTTCAGGTTTAAAATGAAGTAAAATTTAAATAAAGATATAATTGCATTGATATTTATTTGCCCCAAAAAAATATATAAATAACTAGAGTTGTTAAAAGATACATTTCAAATGGATTTGGATACAGATACTTCGTCTGAAAGTTGATCTAGATACAGATACAAAAAAAGAAAGAAAATACATTTTACATAATAAAGAATTGAATAATTTTAAGGCTTAGGAAATTTTCATAATAAAAATAATGATTTAACACATTTTAAAAAGCTTAGATATTGCCATTACACAAAATTTTAACTAGTTAATCATATTTGCAACTAATATATTATCCATTTTATATAATATTATTGACAGACATACTTATTAGAGATCAGCAATCCGACGGGCAGGGCCTCTTTTTTTAAAAAAAATTTTTTTATACAGATTCGGGCAGACCGAGTAAGGCCTAAATCTTATACAATTCAATTTTGTGAAATAAATTGATACATTTTAAAATTCTTGCAAGAAACAAAGGCGTCAATACTTTTATTTGTAGAATATTCTTTGCAATTTAAAAATATTAATTTTTTCTTATTTAAATCAATTGGGGCCGGGCCAGGCGGATCGGGTTATACTTTTAGAGACAAAAAAAATAGCTTGGGATCGGGTCGGACAAATATTTTTAAAAAAATTTCGGGCCGGGATCATTAATACTTATAAAAGATAGAAAAATGTGAGCTACATTAAAAAAAATTGATTATTATGAAATTATGATTAATATATTTTTTTAAAAATTAAATTTTTTTTTTATTAGTATAATAATTAGTCATAAAAATTATAAAAATGCATTCTTGAAACGATTTTTCATTTAATTTCTTTTTTGAATTACAATTTTTTATGCCAATCTTATCTAAAATGTTATCCTCGGTCAAATTTAATAATAGATTTTTATTTTTGTTGATATAAAAAAAATAAATTAAAAAAAAATTCTAATTATATTTAATACAATTAAAATTTTCTTAAAAAAATCTAATTATTATTCATATCAAAAACTTTTCCCTTCAATTATAATTACGATTAAAAGGAAAAAAACGAAGATGAAGATAAGTTTTTTGAAAAGTGAAATTAAATTATGATATTATTTTAAAATATTCTTTAACTTTATATTTTCATTTTGTTTTTTATGATCTTTTTTTCTTCTTTTAATTCATACATTATTTATTTAAAAAATATAAATAAAATAAAAAAATTTTAATAATTTTTAATTTTATAATGTTTTGATTATCTCTGAAAATATAATTTTATTAATTAAATTAATTAGAAAAACTGCAAAGGTAAAGAATTTATTCTATTGAAGTTAAAATTTCTTTATGCATAATACTATCTAGATTGATGATCCAATGTCTTAATACATAGCTAAGGACACTGGCATATTATTTTGGTTTCACATGTAAACATTAATAACTAAAATTTTATGAAAACTTTTTTTAAAAAAATCAGAGTTTCATTTATTTAATAAAAATTATTATATAAGAAATAAAAAGCATGTTATCAACTATTATATGTCAATGGACCACATCTATGATTATCAGTGTTCACTTTATAAAAGTTAATTCTTTTAAAAAAAATATCTTCCCGTAATTATTTTTAAATTAATATTATTCACGAATTTATTTATTTTGAAAATTTAATTACTTTTTATTATATCCTTTTAAATATGATATTTTAATGAATTTTTTATTATTATCGAAATATGTATTTATTTTAATTAATTAATATTAATAGAAAAAGAAATTGAAAAAAAATATTATAATCAAAGGTTTTCTAAATTCTACAATAAATTTTTTTTTAAAGATTATATTATGTAATACAGTGTAATATATTTATATAGCGTTTTACGCACGGCTAAAATTTTATACCAAAATGCGCCCATAAAATTTATAAAGGAGAGGGAAGTATTTAAGAAGTTCCTTTAGAAATAAATTCGTTTTTTAGAGTAGTTAAACCACTTTTTTAATTAAAAATTTTGATAAATAAATTTGTATAAATAATTCAAATGCACAATAATAATTGTATAATAAATAATAATTTTAGATAATAGTATTATTAGATTTATTAAATAAATAAAATAATTAAATCATACATAGTTAGCTAATGGTAGTATCTGTTTTTTTTTAATTGTCAATTATTTTTAAATTATCTGTAAATTTTTTTTAAATTATAGAAGATGCTCTTTTTTTACACATTGATACAAAAAATATATTTTATATTAATTCCTTCCAATTATTATATTTAGTTTTACGGGAAATAAGCCTACAGAATTTTATTATAAGATTTTTGTTTGAACTTTTAAAAATCAGATGCTATCCCAATAGCCAAGGAAACCTTTTAGGTTATCAGGAACAAATTTATTTATATTTTCATAAAGCTAAAAAGTAGTTTCCGGTAATTAGGCCAAATTTAAATTGAGCCTTGGGACTCTTTTATATCGCTCAAATTATAATGAGCTGTGTATTTTTATATTATTTAAAAAATGCATATTAATTTAATTAAATTATATTTCAAAAAAAATAAAAATTTTATTATTTATAAATAACAAATAACACTATTTACTAATTATAAATTTAATTAAAAAAAGGAACATACAATTTTATGAATATGCTATTACATTCTTAATGTAAAAGAATAAATTTTAAGCAAATTAAAATTTAATTAATCCAAATTTTATTTATTGCAACGCAACCATTCTTAATTATAATATTATTTTCGAATGATATTATTTTTCTGTAATTGTTTTTATTTTAATTTTTATTAAAAAATATTTAAATCTATATTTATTTATAAAGCATCATATCAATTAAATAATTATTTTCATTTATTATTTGTTTTTTTATTTTTTTTTTGCCATAAAGTGTGTCTCTTTAAAAAAAAATCTTTTTTGTAATTTTAATTTAATAAAATGTTATAATTAAAAAATAAAAGTTAATGCATAAATATATTTTATAAAGTTTCTTTTATGGCTAATAAAACAATGATCTAAAGAGAAAAAAGAATATAAATTTCTTTAACCTTTAATTAGAAACATTATGTTACATAAATGAGTTCAAAATTATCGGTAAAAATTATATGTTATCTATTGAAACTTATCTTATATTTTTTTTTATTAGGACCATTTAGCAAAAACAAGGATTCCACCACCAAATTAATGAAATAAAGTTAGGCAAAAATTAATTTTAAAAAAAATTCCATAAAGAGCTACTACTATGGACAATGACAATCTTTTAGATAATAATAATAACGACGATACAATTTTAGTCAATCCCGAACATTCTAACGTCACCACGAATCTTTCAAAAGTTCCGAAATCTCCTCCCATTCATTCGGCATTGTATCAGGAGTGCGCGGGGTGCAAAAAATGCATCCAAGACAAATATTTGCTCAAAGCCGAAAACAAATTCTGGCACGAGGATTGCTTAAAATGTTCTTGCTGCGAATGTAGATTGGGAGAAGTTGGTTCCTCCTTTTTTCTCAAAGCTAACCTCTTCTTGTGCAAAAGGGATTATCTAAGGTTAGCAAGCCAAGATTATTTATAATACTTAAATTTATTTTGAATTGAATAGTTATTACATATTACAATATATGCAGCGGCATTCTAGAATTTTATATAGGAAAAAGTTAAAGGTTATAAAATATATATATTTTGTTCTTTCTCACCGTTTTTTTTTAAACTTTTGTTTCTCACCGTTTTTTAAAAACTTTATGGTTTATGGTTCAGATTCAGCCAACATGTTAACTCTCAATTATAAATAAAAAATATTATTGGGGGAGGAAGATCAAATGCCTCATTAACCCCTCCCCCCTTTAAATATGCCAATGATTACATGAATTATTATTTTCTACCCTAGTGAGAAATTGTTTTTTTTGTTTAAATAATATAAATTTTAATGATAAAGTTAGGAAAATCGGAGAGACAAGTATTAGAATTTCATTAACTTTTCCCCTCTTGAAGATTATAATTATCACTTGTTACACTTAATTAGTGTTTTTAAATGGCTCGAGTTTTTGAAACGATTAACCCGATATTTTAGCCAAAAAATTTAAACCAAACCTGGAGATTTTTCTCGTAGATGGCAGAAAGGATGGGCATCTTTTAACGAAATCTCGAAGCTTGCGTAATATTATTTTGGCTAAAATTTTAATTAAAAATTGGCATAGTTTTGATTTTGTCTCTTGAAATTGAAAACTTTAATTAGTTTTTACCTTTATTACCTGATCAAAACTAACTTAAATAAAGCTTAGATTCTATGTTTATTATCCATATTTGTTTATAGTAAACCTAAACAATTTATAAGTTTTCATTTACAAATTATTTTTTTTTACGTGATATTATAAGGACCTATCCCTTCCCCGTATCATACTAAATTACCCTAAGTATAGTTATTATAACCATTGTTGCCAGATTCATACTAACAAAAATCAGGATTAACCATAATTCAAAAAAAAATAATTGTTTTATAACAAATAATATTAATTTTTTCCCTATGATTATTTCTTTATTTAAATTAATATATCTAATATGCAACAGTAAAATAAAGGGAAAGATTCCTATATTATTTTTTAAAGTAAAATTAATAGATATTCAGTAAATATTTTTATTCATAATTATCATAAGATTTTGTCATTAATTAAATTTTTATTCTTTGTTACATATTCTTTAAAATCTTTACAAATATAATTAAATTATGTTTGATCATTAATTCCGCTTCGAAAGCTGATAAAGATGACCGATTACTATCTTTCCCCCAGAATTTTTTTTTATTAAACTGTATATGCGCTCTGATTAACCGTTTGAATGCGGTAACGAGAATATAATATTGCATATTTTTTAAAAAAATTTGCGCTATGTTATGTGAGAAGAAAGTACCCATTTGTTTTCTTGAGCCAAATTCGATATATTATTATTTTGTTCTATAAATACATTTTATGCAACGAATTCCTGAAATAATCCATATAATTTGATATCTTTAAATTGATCATAATTAATTCAAATTTCGAATTTATTATCGAGCTTTATAATATTAAGATTTTCCATTTATGTGATTTTATCATAACCATCACATTTTATAATATTCTTAAAATCTGAGCATTAATTGGTAAGGACATCTCCGAATTGAATATTCGGATTGCAATTTTTTAACCACGTTGTTTAAAGTCGTTCATACATACTAAGCATAAACAAGCCTTGCTCTCTACAATATATTTTCAAAAAATAATTTTAATGTATTTTTTCTGGTATAAAAAAATAAGATATAACAGCTGAATAATTTTTATTAAGTTTTTCGAGAGCCGGTATTAAGTAACCCTCTTGTTGGAAAAATTCGTAGAAGTTCGGACCATTCTATTGAGATCCATAATTTCATAACAATTATTTCTATGGGTATTGTTGATGAATCATGCCCCTTACTGTATTGTGATATATATGGCACAGGAAACCAATAGGGATTATATTTTCATTCAAAACTAATTATTCCGTTATTACACTTTCCCTTTCACCGAAATGCGTTATCGGCACAAAGAACTGTCACATTTTATTGAAGGTTATAATTTTCCTTAAAATCCTATAAGATTTGTTTCTTAGTTTCAGAACCTAGGATATTTAACATTATTTTTAAGGCTTTTATTTTCTACATTTTATACTTTTGGTTATTTTTGAATTAGGAAACAGTATAGGCAATAAGTTTGTAGCGCAATCATTAGATAAATAACTAAGAATATGTTTTACCGCATGATAGACCAATGTCGTTTCGGCTATAGCAGTATTATAACATAAATTATTGTTTTTGAAGTATGGTTGGATAATATTTGATGATTCCTTATTTTTTAAATTGGAAATATGTTTTTGCCTTGTTGAATGTTTTTTTACAATGGAATCCTCTGTGCTGATATTAAATTTTATACTTCATATTAATTGTATTTAAATCTTCTCTGACCCACGAATAGAGAGAATTCCAGTAATTTTGATATTGCAATATACATTTTTTTTTGGATATTTAACTTACTGTTATTTTTATATAATTTAAATTAATGGAATAAAATTGAAAAAGAAATGAAATATCATGAGAAAACTTTAATTAGAAAACGTTAAAATTTTAAAAAATAAGTTTCCTACCTTTAAAATATCATTTTATATAGTTAGTTTTTCTAAAACTTATATAAAATACTTCACATTTTAAGAATCATTTTCATATCAGAATCAGAGTAAATAATTATTATATGATTTATCACAACAATTTATTTTAAAAATATATTATTATTATTACATTTTAAATTGTAAAGTTTTGGAGATCGAAAAAATTCCATTCTCAAAATATGGATAAAAAAATAAACAAAAATAAGAAGGCTTTTTATATACATATGTGATTGAATTAAATAAAATGATTGCGTTAGTTTCTGGTTAAGCTATTTTTAATTATTTTATATTTTAAAAAATTTATTTAATAAATCGGGAGAATTTTTTTTAGAAACATGGATAAAAAAATAAGAAGAATTAAATCCTTGCAAATTAGATTCCACCTTAAATACTAATCAAATAAAATTGGTAAAACAATATATTAGGCTCAAGTGATAAATCTATTAATACACGTTGGTCCAGTATTAATAACGCTATATTTTAATCAAATAATTTTTATTCACCTGTGCATTTTGCATAAATTTACTAAAAAGATTAAATTTCCTATTTTAGCCTGATTATTAATTTTCTAGATGAATGTTTGGTAGCCAATGACTTAATATTTGAAAATATATACATAATCTATGGCAAAAAGATTATTAGAAATTCTGATCTTTTCTCTTTTCTGTTTATCAAAGGCTAAGACCAGATCTTTTTCAGTTTATTTTAAAATCTTAGATGACGTGTTCTACCGTAACCAAAGTAAAAATCGGGAAATTACTCCAAAAATGGGAGATCTGGAAACCCTTATAATAACAGAGCAGCGCGTGGTTCTCTCTCAAAAACATTTTATTAAATAAATTTATATGAATTTGTGCCAAATTATATTATAAAAAAATAATTATTATAATTAAGCTGAAAAATAAAAATAAATACAAAACAAGAACCTGTATAAAAAAGAAGATATAAAATAGCTTTATTTACATAAAATAAAAGTAGTAATATGAAAATAATAAAAATTGATATAAAATTATATGAAATACTTAAATCTAGGACGAATATAATTTTTATTTTTCGGTATAATTTATAATTAATTGCTGATTTGCGTTTACCTTTTCTCATTTTTTACCTGCTTTAGGTAAAGTAAAATAAATAAATATATAAATTTATATCATTATTATTCTTATTAAAATTTTAATTTTAAATGGTCATATATTTACTTGTAAATTAAAAATATAATTTTTTTAGATGATTAAAAGAAGGAATTTTTTTTTTCAAATAAAATACATTATATATTTTTTCCTTTTGTTTAAAAAAATATTATATATCATAATTTGTTTTATCTTTATTAAACCCAAAAATAAAAATTGAACTCTTGTGTATTGTAATCTACAGGGGCCCGGAGTTAACTGTTATACCAGATCGCTAAAAGAAACGAACCGAACCTACATAATTTTTATCAGTCGGTATAAAACCTCCTACATAATTTTTATCAGTCGGTATAAAACCTTTTAATTTTTTATATAACAATTTAAAGACTATATTTGATAAAGCTAACAATTGTGTCCTCCCTCCCTATCACCTCCCCCCCTCCCTTCCCCTCAAATTTTTGCCATACCTTACCTCCTAGCTTCCGATCATCCTATCTCCTCCTCTCTCTTCCACTTTTAATATATTTCAATGATGATCTTGAGTTAAATCCTGATAGCCTATATTAGAATTGCTTACTGTGATTAGATAGTGCGTCGGGTATAGACATAGACTCATCAGATGTTCCGAGATATATATCGGCGTTTTGGTTTTCACTAGGAATTATGACATCCAATAGGTTACATCTCTAGAACGATCCTAATAAAATCAGTAAATATATTAAGGTGAAAATATTTTGTGGAGTCGTTGCCCTGGAAAATTCTTGCTTTATAAATTTGCCGATTTCCTTGCTTTATAGCACCAGAGGTAGTGAATTAACTTAAATGGTTTTAGCAATTATTTTAGATAAACTAGAAACCCCGCCCATGTTATTTATTAGATTAGACATTGACGAATATACCATAATTTCATTAAATTCAAATGAATACTTTTGCGTCTAAGCAAAATATACCAAATAAAAAATTTGGTGAAAAGTGCTAAAAATTGTTTTTGATCAATATATATTGAATACAGAGCTATTGAAAGAAATACATCCTTTGGCCATTTTGAAACAATCAGCTAAAGAAAGTTATTGACCTTTAACCCCGCCTATAAAACCCCGGTCTCTCTCATTTTTTATGGTTTATATTGAATATTTTCTCAATAAAATTAATTCACCTTTTTACATGTCTTTTTTTAATTTTTTTCTAAAGATAAAATTGATATAAAGAATACTTAATCAAACCGTAATCTTTTAAAATTTAGGTAGCTGGACCGTAACCGAACCTACACTTTGTTATCTTTTATCTCCGAATAGTTAACGAACCCGATCCTTTATTGGAGTACCTAGTATTTTGTATGAATATCTTTCTCATCTATTCAAAACTATATAATTAAATTTAATACAATAAAACTGGGGCTAGGGTAAATTATTTGATCCCTATTTTTCAATTTAAGCTTGATTGATAACACAAGTAGAACTTAATTTTTTGATCAATAAAGTTTGCGAATTAGATAGCTGCTTTTACTTCCTTATTGTTACATATGCGACGTCTATCGAAAAATTGCCACAATTAATTTTTTTATAATATAAAAGTAGCCTTACCTCGAACCGTTATTTTTTGAGATTAGATTCAGATCAATTTTTTGTGGTTGTTAATTAAACGCTGCAATTTCTTTCAAACTGTTAGTCAAAAAAAAATTATCAGAAAAAAAAGCCTGGCTGGGAACATCTGTGGTTGGATTATAGGACACATATAATTATCATAATTTTAATATTTCGATTAACCTTGCACTATAGGTTATTTGGAAATACCGGTTATTGTACGGCTTGTGAAAAGGTAATTCCAGCTTTTGAAATGGTCATGAAAGCTAAATCCAACGTATACCATCTCGAATGCTTCGCTTGCCAAGAATGTAATCATAGGTTTTTAATAAATTTATATTAAAATATATATAGATATCTTAAAAATAATTATATTTTTTTAAAAGAGTGCCATTAAAGTAAAAGACTACTATTTCCAATTAACGTCAATGTATAAAATTTAGAATAAATTAATTATTTTCATATAAGTTTTAATTATTCGTTATTATGGCTAAACGTTAAATCTTGCACATTTTATGCTGCCACTTTTAGGTTCGGTTCCATAAAAAACTTTACATATTTATCTAATTTATTCGACCCTGTATTTTTTCAAAGGATACGGCCTAAATTATAATTTTTGAGTATAAGTTCTATCCGAAAATAAATAACTAAGTATGCTATTTATGAAAAACTTTACCATTTGATTATTTTTTTTTCAATTAAAGGAAAATTTTGAGAAACGAATTCATCCAGAAATAGAATAAGAAAATGTTTTAAATTTTTATGTGCGATCTATCCCAATACACAAATTGACGATTCATAATGTAAATTATAGCTTTTGGCATGCCATTTGCTATATTGAAAATTTTTATTTGGGGAACCAAAATTGCGTGTCAGCAGCTGATTTATTTTCAACGACGGTTCAGAATAAATTTTATGATTGTGGTCTGAGTCAGATTCGATATTTATGAAAAAGCAAAATAAAATGCAAGTCCAACTCCACCGAATCTAAGGAGAATGTTTATCCAATTGATCCGAACCGGTTTTTATCTGGCTCGCACCATTCCCATTAACCATTTTATGCAAAGTACTATTTGAAATGTAGAGTATTTTTATAGATTTGAAAACGATACACTTAAATTAATGTGATTAAATGACTTGATTTGAGTTTAAAATGGCTAACTCAATATTTTCGCCAGAAAAATATTGCCTAAGCCTCTAGATTTCGCGAATAGATGTCCAAACCTTTGTGTCATCAATATGCAAAATTTTTAGGGCTCAATATTTTTCTGGATAAAATATTTAGTTATCCGTTTTTAAAACCGGATAAAATCGAGCCGTTTTCGTTTGAAATGATACCATACTCACGATATATGTTATAATAAAAATGCAAAACTTTTTAGTATGCTATTAAAAAATATGCAAAACTTTTTATAGTTAATTTTTATTTGCTTTATATAATATTATTTATTTTGAAAAAATAATTGACAATTTTAGGCAGTGGCATTAAAATAAATTTTTTAGAAAAATATTATCTGTGCGCTAATTTGTTTTACGTTGTTTTCGTCAAAAACAACTTCTTTTTTTTTATTTTTTACTCTCTAATTTAAAAAAAAAATAGTTGATAAAAGCGACATCCCTGGCATAAATATTGCTTTTATAGTTTTTGTCATATTTAATTAGTTAATTAATGGATTTAGTTTTTTATATTTAATATTTAAAAAAAGGTATATTTTGATATAAAAAATATACATTGAAACATTTAGGCTATCACTTAAGAATTGTTAATTATGGTCACGATATATGTAATACTATTGCTATGCGAGAGGCGGAAGAGTTCACGATTAAGTGGCCATCCTCTTCAAGGTTTTGCCTAAGTTAATCTGAAATGAGGATTAATTGAATCTTCCCGCGTCTATTCAAAACCTCATTTTTAAACCATTTATTGAGGGCGATTTTTAGATATGAAAAATCTGATTTAACCGAAAATGAATTTCAATATGTATGAAAATTTTGACTTATAAACTTTATAATTTTTCATTTAAAGATTTTTTATATAAATTTAAAAATATGTCTAAATTTTCTGAAATTAATATGGATAGTACTCCATAGCTCATCCAGGCTGGAATTTATTTCTAGTAAATTCATTCGAAATATCATTGAATAATTTATCCAAATCACTATGGGAGGATTTTGGATTCGTCCTTATTCTAGATTAATTTACCAATTTTATAATAAATAATTAAATCAAAAGTCATTAAATATACAATGACAACAGAAATATAATGTTAAACAGAAAAAGTTTTCCTCTAAAAAACATGTATCAATTAATTCATGATATAGCCAAATTGTATAAAAAAAAATGTTTTTGATAATAATCAACAAAAATTGAGGGGAAAATATGGAAGATAAATTTGGATATAATAGATATAGGATAGTTGGACTAAAAACCAATAAAACATATTAAATTATAAATTAATGAATATATAAATTATCCATTAACTTTATTAAAAAAGATATATTTATATTATATATAGTACATTTTTTTTTGTCAAAAAACTAATAATTTGATAAATTGATATTAAATAGATATAATATAATACAATAATAGTAAAACATATAAACAACTAATTTTTATGTAATAGAAATTAATGATATTTGCTTTAACAGAATATGAATGGTAACCATTTTTTGACAGCAGCATTACATAATTGGAAAAATAAAATAAAACATGGGTTAAAAAATTAGTGTTTTTCAATTAATATATTTTATTTTTAATTGTATAAGGGTAAAATTGTAAATTTTTATTTATTTTAGCGGTTATTAAATAAGATTCGCATATACCATGATATGGTATAGCATAATCATCTTCTTATATTTCTTATAATTTAACTTTCTATTTCTGAACAATTTGTCTAATAAAATTATTAGTAAACAAATAAATTGAAAGTTTTAAATTTTTTTTGTATTCAATTCCTTGATTTTGAATGTAATTTTTGGTTTTGAAATTATTTAAAATATAACTTGTTTTCTCTTTTTGTTTTGAATTTTTAAATATTATATAAAAAATTGAATTAAAAGAAACTTGACAGAAAAATTGAAATATGATGACCAATTTTCAATTTAATCGTTTAAAAAATCAAATTATAGATCATTTAAACATTAATTGGTTTCTCATATTTTCAATTTCATATCGAAAACATTTAGAAATCCAAAATTATTTACAATACAAATTTTAAAAAAAATAGTATCGGGCAAAAAATAATCGTTTATTTTTTTAAAAAAAATAAGGCCATTAAAAATGTTTTAGAAGTTCATGACCATATTGTCTGAAATTTATAGGATAGGTATTCTAAACATAATGGAATGCATTTTCGATAACACTCTACAAATGATTGTATTAAATTAATTAAAATCATACTCATGCTTTAAAGTCGAAAATATTTAAAATATCAGGTTAATATCGTATTATTAATTCAAAAAACAAGTTTTTTTTAGCTAACTAAAATTTTTGGAACCTGTTGCTTTTGTTTTGAAAATACAAAAAATTCCTTTTTTATATTTGATTTGAAATTCCATACTTTTTTGTTTTGCAGCCTTGCCTTAATAGAGTGGCCTCAACACTACCTGAGCTAATGAAGCAGAATACCCCCATCCAAAAGAAGCAGCAAATTTCAAAAATAATTTTTATTACATTAATCTTTAATATATAATAACTATAAAAATATAAAAAAAGTTATATAAACTTTAAAATTGGAGCAAAGAAATTAAAATATTTTTTAAATGAATAATTTAGACAAATTAGAGGAAGATAAAGCGAAATTAGTTAAAATTTCATTAATATTTAATTGTTTAAATAAATTTTGTTCCATTGATAAAATGATTAAATTATTAAGAAAAGAATCCTTCATAATGCCTTCGTAATCTTTATTAATTAACTTAATTTTACTTATGACCACAATACATGATGTTGTAGGAAAGGTTATAAATTATATAAAATTGATAAATCATGGAAAGCAGAAAAATTTGAAAGTAAACGATACCTTTAAGCTATCATATATATATATTTCGAAAGTTAGGCATTTCATCGAAAACTTGACTCGAATTTAATTGATAAAATTCACAGATATCCTCAATATCATCTTTAGTTATTCCCTTTGGTGTAAAATAAGGTTTGCTTTAAAATTTTCTTGGATTGGTCATTAGAAGTTTATTAAACTGCATTATTATCAAATCAAGTACAGCAAAAAAAACATTGGTTTTAAAGCTTAAATAAACTATTATAATGAAAGTATTAATACCTTTTCTTTTTAATTGAAATGCTTGCACCCTAAAACTTTCAAAATTATAAGGCGGATTTCTCACTTCATAATCTTGAGCCTTTGAAAAAACATTCAAAAATTCAATGTAATTATCTAATAAGATATAAAATAATGGTACAAGACAATATCTTAAATTAACTTCTCAGCTGAATCAGACAATCTTTTGCCAATTGAATTTTATTCATATATCCTGACATGGTTTGCAATTTTATAATAGCCGAGCTTTTTATCAATAATATTTTATCCAAAACATAAGTGATAAAATCAAATTTTTCTGTTCTAAAAACTATAGTACTAGCAATGGTAGAAGTAGCAAGATCTTCAGAATTCTTTAAATTTGTCAAAGCTGCCCTCAAGGTATCTTAAAGTAGGAAAAAAAATTCAATTGCTTTATACGATGATACTAGCTTCTATAAATATAAATATATACATTTTAAAACTAAATAAATAAGATAATATTACCGAGGGGTATTTTTGTGTAAAAATCGTTGCAATTTTGTCAATACATCATTCTGACATGCTTTGCCTGCATATCTCTTAACATGTTGAAATACACATGAATCTTGTGTAAGATCTCTAAAACATTTTTTAGTTCCCTTATGAATTGGCTTGACAATAGCACCAAATAAGCGCCGCTTTTGGGGCCTCAGCTCTAATCAAAGCCTGTACTCCGTTGGTCTTTCCATTAATGACTTTGCCCAACTAAGAAATCCAGGGATAAATTCATTGAATTAAATTTGTATATTATATATTTATTTAATATCAACATCATTCATGTTATTCATACAATATATATGTATATATCAATAAATCTTTCAGCTACCTTTCGTGTTTCACCATTTTCAATATATCTTACTTTCAACGCATTTGCTTCTGATTTAGAATCCTCATAGGTACCATCGCATATAAATGAGAAGCACTATTAGATTCGATTTCTTTTTGATTTTGTTATAACCAAATTTTTTAATATTTCAAGAAGTAAATTTATATTGTTATATGAAAAAAGATTGGAATATATTTGGGATTTTAATTCCTTTTGTTTTTGATCACATCTTTTTTCTTCATTTTTTGTATATATATTTTGAAATCAGGTTCAGAAGCTGTAATAATATTGCCTTTTTGTTGTGTTTACCCAAAAAGCTTGATTACGAGAAATCAAATAACCAAAACATCTTATTATCATTCTTATAATTGAGCAATTATCATTCGTTTCTAAGATTTTATCTGGTCCCTGAAGAATATTTTTTATTCGTATTCGATTCATAATTTCCATATAAGAAAATTGATTTTAATTTTGAAATGAATACAAATAATAAAAAATTTGACGAATAATATAAACAATCATTCAAATATTTTTTGTAAATATTTTTCTTTTTCATTATTTTTTTTTATTTAAATGAGTTTTTTTTAAAGAATATATGTCCAGAAGATTACATTTTTTTCTAAAAAATAGTTTTGACTGTGGAGTATTTCATTATATTATGGTTACGAATTTCAATGGGATCATTGAATCTCATCAATACTTTCAGATAGTTGGTAGATTTTTTTTATTAACTAAATATGAATCGCCTGAAATCATAATACAGACAAACACAATATATATTCTTAAATTTAGTTAATTTTTTTTATATAGGGAAATTCAAACATTTTCTAAATTTGACAAAGTATTAATTTAAAAGATAACATATATACGATAAGAATATATAATAGGGACAAATCCGAAATTCTTTCGTGGGGATTCTGAATATCACAATTTTAAACTTTTATTGAGAGCGATTTTTAAATTTGAAATATCTCATTTTATCGGAATTGATTTCCGACATATATAAATTACCCACCCAATAAATTCAGAAAATTTTGCAATGAGCACTTTTTTATCTTAATTTTCAAATTATAGATTTTAGTTATAAATTAGAATATACAAAAAAATGTGTTGCCAAATTATGAAATTTAGGAAAAGTTATCTATACATGCTGGACATGATCAGATTTTTTTTAAAGTTAAAAAATCAGTAATTGGTTTAAAATTGAGAGAATTCAAATCACCACGGAAGGATTCCGAATTAGTTCCATTCCATATTTACTTGGCTAAATTTTGTCATGTTCCATTCAGGGCATTCAGAATCCAGTTGCGTCCAGATTCATTACTTTTTATTAGTATATTAATTTCAAAAATTAATCATTTTGATGTTAATTTTAGTATAATGAATCATGGGAATGGGTCCCATAAGATTTTTTTGTTTTTTTTTCTACAGAGCCCCAAGATTCTTGCGGTATGTGTATAATAGTGTCATAAGTATGTTGTATTTTTGTTCAATAGATATTAATTTTTTAAAATGATTTAATTATCACCTGGGAGAGGCTAGTTAGGAATTAAAAGGTTATTCAGATTTGAATTAGAGTATAAATCAAAAATATTGATTTAATAGACTATTCGGTCTCTTAAAGATTAAATCTGATTTGCGCTCCTAAAGAGCTGTATAACAATATAATTATTCGATATGGGATATGGTTAATATATATTTAAAAGGGTAAAACAATATAACTATTCGATATGGGGTATGGTTAATATATACTTTAAAAATGGCTTGGAAAATATTTAATATTAATACAAATTTAATTTATAATGAATTATATATTATTATTTTTTCTATTCTGCTTATAATACTTTAATATATATTTTTTATATAAAGCTAAATATAATAATAATATTAATTTATAACATAAAATAAATTATACAATTTATATGTATGTGCAGAAATAAAATATTAAATATAATTTTAATTAAAATCATTTATATATTCTATAATATCTTCTTTTTTTACAGTTTGAATATGATACTATACGTTTTGCTATACTAAATAGTAATACTATATAAAATAAATCTATTCTTATATTTTATTGAAATTCAACAAATGATACAAACATATTAAATTAAAATGATTAGGCACACACAACACATAAAATATAGTTGGTTTCAATTATAGTTTATATATTATGTAATGTGATACATTTAGAGCAATATTCGGGAATTTATATTGAAATTTATTATTAAAATACTTTTGGCGGCTTTTTGAAAATTAATATTATTAAATTTTATTTTAATTAAAAGCATAAAATAAAAAGTTTAATGTGGGTAGATGGTAATTGCTAGTTTGGCAGAGTTTCTGATGATCTAAACATTTCTGATGTCTATTTGAATGACAATATAATTTATACACGAATAATTAACTTAATTTTTTTTAAGTATTTGTTAAAAAATTTTTAAATTAATTTTTAGAATTAGAAATATATTTAAAATCACACTATGAAGAGAAAATATCAATCAAAAGTTAGTATTATTTATCTATAAATATTATTTAACCCACCCGCCTAATGTTTAAAAATTATTTTAAGGCTTGTTTGGCTCTTTAATTTATTTAATGTATTTTTAATTAAACAGATATAATATGCAATATTAAGAAATACAACTATATTTTAATAAATTGAAGTCTGTTCTCATTTCCCCTGAAAAAAAAATTTACCCGCCCACGCCCGTCCATTACGTGAAAATTTTTTAACAGGGCCACCACCCACCCAATGTTAAAAATATTTTAAAAAACCCTACCACTCCCGTCCTAAGTGTGGGCGGACAGTTTAAAAATTCACCCAAGGCAGAGACCTCTAGTCTAGAGGATATTGGTAAAACTTCTAAGGCCGTTTTAGACTTTCAAATATAGCAGAGTGATGTAATTAGCTTTGAAAAAGTTTATTTTCGAAAATTAAAAAAAAAATAGCGTTATACATTTTTTTTGTTCAGTGAAAATTACCTATTTACACAAAAAAAATAGAATTTACAAATCTTATTTTATTATAAATATAGAGACATATATTACTTAGGTATATTATATGAACAGGTTGGACATAAAATATTATTGTTGAATTTATTATATAATAATGATAAACACACTTTAAATTAAGATTCCAATTTATAAAATATTAAGACTAAATTTAGATAATACAGAGTATATGATGTTAAAACATGCCAAGTATTGACTACCTAGAAAAAAACTATAAAATAAACTCACTTAGCACAAGAAATATTATATAAAGCTTTGATTCTAATTTGATTTTATAGGTTAAGGATTATGCTATACATTGATAATAAATTTGTTATACAAGCCCAATTCTTAATCCTTTTCTGAAAACTAACAATCATCGCTATTCATGTCACTCTATCATTATAATTAATTCGATATAAGTTTATACATAAAAAATATTTTCGGTATTTTTAGATTTTGCGTAGGCGACAAATTTTACCTTTGGCAAAATAAGATCCTTTGTGAAAAGGATTATCGCTCCGTTTGCTTATTTCAAAATTTTCATCAAAATCCAGCCTTCACAAACAATACCAATCAACAGTCTTCCCCTTCTTCAATGAATAATTACGAAGAAAATAACTCGCAGCTCTCTCTGTTAAGCCGTAAAAATTCTAACAATAACAACATTTTCCTCCATCAAAATACCAAAATATCGCATAATCTAACATCACCCAATTCCAATCACGTTTCAAATGATGGAAATTTTAACGAACTCGATGACTACACGCAACAGGAAATAAATGGCAATTGTGATTCCTACAAAACCCGTTCCCAACAAATCAATTCTAGTCTTGACAATCCCGCCAAACATTATTTAGACCGACATTCGTTCGATTCGACACTTTCCGACTTTTTACCTCTTCACCATCGCAATGGGGACAATTATTACGAAAACCTGAACCTGATGCACCAAATGACCGGAGGTGCCAATAATGAGATAGAAAACGCTTCCATATGAAATTACTACAAAAAACTTATATACGTTATATATAAATCTCAGATAAATTGCCAAGAAAATAAAAATTTAGTATATATATATATATATATAAACAGCATATATCCATATTATATTATACACATCACATACCATTTATTTATAAATGTGTAATTAATAGATTCATTATGTATAAAAATACAACAACCAAAGATTATAGTTATGATGTTTGCTGCAATTTTCTAGTGACTAAATGGTGTGTATAAATTTTCTTAGTTAAAATAGTATATTGAGGTGTGCTCTCTTCAAATTTAGCAGTTTTAAGATAAATTTAATGTTTTAAAATAATTTAAGTAATAATAATTATCAAAATTAGATTATGCAACGATAACACTTTTTTTTAAAGTTGATAGTACCGATTCTCTGCACAGATATTTAAAACAGAAGTATGTCTTGAATCCAACTTTCATTGCGGTTTAGATGATATGCAAAAAAATCTTAGAACTACCCCAGGTTGGACTTAACTTTTTTTCTGATTCTCCACCCCGGCTCAGATTTTCTATTTTTTTCATATTTTACATCCCGGTCCAAATTTTCTTTTTAGTCTCAGCTGTTTTTTATAGGATTTATAACCATTTATTTGCCTCGACCCTGCTTTGTAATTTTTTTCATATTAGACCCTGTGTGGTCAATGACAATACGATATTGAAATCGATGCATCTTTCACCAAATGCCCCCTCCCCCCGTGGATCTTTTTATTTGACTTTTGAAATAGTGCTTAGAGAATTTCAATCCCCAATAAGGTTGCGAAAATAGTAAACTACATCCACAATTCTGTCCACTTATATTTTTAATTGCACCAATTCTAATTTAAGTATGAATCAATATTTAATTAAGCTAATATAAATGGATATATCTATTTAATTTTCTATTTTTACCAACAAATTCAAGAAAGGGATTTAAAAAAAGAGGAATTTCTTATTCCAGATAATTTTTTTTCTATATTTTATTTATCATAATTAACGATTGAAATTTTATAAACAAGAATTAAGATGACATATATAAGGTATTTATTTAATTACTATTTTAATAATAATTTCCTTTTTAATATATATAAAATATTGAATTTCTTTCGATTAAAAAAAATCCCACTTCAAGAGATTTTTAAAAAAACAATAAAATATTAAATCGTTAATAGATATATTATTAATACATATTAATCTTTCTAAATACGTTGCATTATTATTTTATCCAACTATCATAAGCGCAAATCATTATAATTTAAAATTATTAATGCAAAATGAATTAATAATTTTCATATTGAAAAAAAAGAAGATTTAAGTTAATTTTTTTCCTTCTTTTTTTTTCATGGAAGAGAAAGATTAATAGATATTTTTAGATTAGATTATATAAAATATAATGATTATAAGAATGACAAATATATGATTGATAATTTTCACTTATAATTTTATAATCTTTAGAAAGGATGTAAAATTTCTATGATTATATATATACAATTTTAAGCAGCCTAAAATTGCCAAAAAAATCTTAAACATGTTGTGTGCAATTTTTTGTTTTATAGCTATCGATATTATTTAGATAATATTAATAATAAGTGTATATTATAAACATTTTTTATTTTGATTTAAACGAGAATTTCTATAATATTGAATTATTTTTATAGAAAAGAAATTGAATTAGCATTTTATATAAGCTTAAAATATTTAATTTTCTGAAAAACTCGTAGGCTTACATAAACCCATTATAATTTCTTGTGACAAACACAAATTGAAATAATTATTAAATAAATTATAAGGAACATCATCTAATTCAGGAGAAAAAAATTTCACAAACTTATTCATTTATAGATTTTTTTTAAAATATAATTTTACTTCTAAGGATTATAAATACTATTTCTACACAGTATAACATAACAATCGCTATGAATAATTCACTAATTTTTATGATTCGACGACATATTATTTATCAATTACTAAAAATTAGGTAAAATTAAATAGGCATTCCCACAAATATTATCAGAGAAGAAAAAGAACCTGATTTTATTTTTTGATTAAAAATTAATTGTTGGCCTAAGAAATGTCGCTTTAAATTTACCACTTTATTAAAATAAAATAAAAATCTTCCGATAAGGTAAAAGTTATTTCAAATTGCTGGAATTTAAAAAAACAAACTTCAAACATGCCCAGTCCGGTTTTTACTTAGACTGAATCGTGACAGGTTTGTTCTCTAGAATCGGTTACGTGCTTTTGTCCGGGTTTTTAACCGATCTTCGATTCCATTTTGATCGATGGAAAAATTTATATTTTCCTTTTATAATTACCAAACAATCAATACCTATTCCTTGTGAGATGCGAACTGTTATTTCGCAAGAGTATCAAGTAAGATAATAGGTAGGATTGTTTATCTATTGGGCGAAATAACTAGGATCAGGTTTAGGTAACATTTATTTTTGGATAAAATTTAGATAAAAAAAATTATCTAATTCGAGCTGATTCTTAAAATGGTATATCCGATGAAAAATTTTAAATATAATCTTTTCTCTTATTATTCTATTTTATAATATATATTTATTGTCGCTGTTTTTGGGAAACTATAATTAAGGGAGATTTCTCGGAAAATTTGAAGAAAAAAACGGGAAATTTCCCTTAAAAATTATTTTATGTCAATATTTTTTTTTATGAAATATGTTATTTTAACAAGTATGATATAATTTCAATTATGATTCCAGATCTTTAATCAGAAAATTTGTTATTTGTCTCGCAATATCTAAATCTAGGTATCCAGAAAATCGGTTTATATTATTTAATCCTTTATCAACAACTTCATTATTTTTAAAATTAAATTTACAATATTTTGTCAAGTATATGAGCAGGATAATATACGTCCCGGCAACAAAATATTTTCCGATTTTTTTTTGTTTTGTAAATGATTTCCGATTTTCCAGATATGAATAAATACTTGAGGAATGTCAGATAAGTTTGATTTGTCCGCTTCAACTTCCCCTATTTGTGTATAAATAAATTTATAATTTAAAAAACTTCATTATCAAGAAAATTAAATCTCTTATCTCAAAAAAATTTGGAGTATTCCCACAAATATCTATATTTTTTAGCAGACTATTAATTATCATAACTATGCTAACCAAAGAGTTATTATAATCTTAATTTCTTGTGTTTCCTATTTCTACAATTACTTTAATAAATTCACTTGATATATATATACTATTGATCCCTGTTTCAATTAATTAATAAAAAATTAAACTTGCGATTGCTATAATAAAATTTATATTACATTCGACTTTTTTTTGTATAACCAACATTAATAAGGGTCAAATTTATATATTATCTATCGGTTATCACATTTTTTTATCCTCTCGTATTCACTGTTTAACAAATTTTTACTGAGTAAATATCTTGTGACAATTTTAAATGCTGTTTTCAAAATTGAAATAATTACATAAAAATGGTGCAAAATTATCAATATATTTCATTAAATTATTCTTTCAGAAATTTATATTATTAGTTAAATTAACTTATAAGGAAGTTGGCCTTATCCTATATCTCTTTAACCTTTAATCCAACTTCTTATTTCAGTTATTATTAAAAATTTTAAATATATTTCAGTCAATAAAAAAAATTCCTTCCAATGAACATTACTAGAGTTGAACTATTATTATATTATCGAAAGTGAACGTACATGCAAAAACAAAACATAATTATGTATGATATATATATATCAAGAGGAGAAAATATTTTTCTAAAAAATTTCCCCTACGTTATATCCCGAGTTGCTGTTGAGTTAGTTTCCATTTTATTATTTTTATGTTGTATAAATAAAATCAGTTTTAACCAGGGTTGTGAATTAGACCGGTTAAATACGATTAGGTCAATTGACCAGTTAAATCAAATAAATGTTTTTAGTAAGTCATTATTTACTTTATTTTGTATATAATAGTAAAATAAATCATTAATTTAATTTTATAATCTATTTTTAAATTCATTGTCATTCAATAACTAATGTTTCGCTTTCCGTGGCAGAGTCTTTTTCTGATTCATATTCAATATTATCATCTTCTTTAATATTTTTTAATCAAATTTCCTGTTGTTGAGTCTTCAATCGATTTGTTTTATTAAGAATATTACCCAAATCAAATCGACCAATTTCTTTCTGAAGAAGAATTAGAACTAAGAATTGTTAGTAAAATGCCATTTCTCATAATGGCCATGGTTGGCGAAGCTCCTTCCATTGATTTGAGGTGGGATCTGATATGATATCATTTAAAATATTTTGATCAACACCACATTGTAAAATGCCTAATTATTGTATTATAATATACTTATAAATTCACTACTACTGGGATACTTCCCTTGGTATTGGGGGCCAAATAAATAAGTAAAATTGTGATCACATGTATTTATATCGTTTTTTATTTCTTCAAACATATTTTTAATTCTTTTTCAGATTTTTTAAAGTATTTGACCGTATTTGGCCAGATCAAACATTCTTACAGTTCATTTGACAGGTCAATTTACTTTACTTGCCAACCCTAGTTTTAACTGATATTTTGTTTTATATAGGTAAACACAAGCCAAATAGCCCAGTTTTGTTTTTAGATTGTTATTTACGGTTAGGTGTCGGTCTTTAAAAATTGGCTCTAGAGCAAACCATGACGTTCACTAAATTTACTCAAATTTGTCATATATTTTAAAATATTATTTAAACATAATTATTTTTATATTATTAAGTAATAAATGATTATTCCTTAATTTCCACCACATTGTAAGTCCTTTTAATATGGTTTATTATTTCTAAAATCTTTCTGTGAGTTTTATAGCTGCAATATCATAAATTTGGTAGTGTATCAGATTGTTTTGGATATTCAAATCTCCTTCTGTGCAATATTTTAATCCTATATCTTCAATCTGCTTAAATTAAAAGTTAATAAATCTATCAAACTCAAACGATTAAAAAAACAATTCAATGTTTTTATTTGAAAAAAAAATCTAATTGAGAAAAATTTATCAAAAAATAAAATTGGGACCTTGTCTTTTTAAGAGAACTTATACGTTTTAAATTGGTTTTTTCTTTATAAAGAACAAAAAATAAATTAAAATTTTTTCAATTTGAATAAAAAAAGTGTATAATTAAAATAATACAATTTTTATTTAAATTTAAAAAAAATTT